TGTCACTTTCAAGTCATTTCCTCATGATGACAGGCGCAGATCAGACACTATTGGAAATGTCATGCTTGTGATGCTATGTCACGTCAGGTATTGAAACGAAATGATGTCTGTTTAGAAGAGGAGGATTTGACAGTGCCAGTGTAAATTCGATTTCCCCTGATTAGCCGTCTCCTTCCGCTGCAGACCGCGTCAGTAGGTGAGCCGTCCACCAAAATGGCCAGTGATTTTGAAAGGCTTGGGGGATCAAATTAAGTGTTGCACAGAGGGCGTGTGGGGTCAACTCGGAGGGTGTATGGAGAGTCGGGTGCGAGATGGAGAAAGACGGGGGAGGGGTGGCACAAAGCTCTTGTTCTAAGGCAGTGTGAGCTTTTCCTTCTGTTTGTGATCAACTTTGCTGTTTAAAGTTTGCTAGCTGTTAGCTAGCCCACCCTCCTCCTCTTCCTCCTCCTGCGCCTCCCCCTCTGGCGCACAGCCCCATGGAGACACAAAGTATTCATTCACATTTAGATTTGGGGGTCACGACAGGGCCAGTGCTGAGCGAACGCCATGGCTTCTGGAAGGCAGGTCAGGAATCTAGCACATAACTCAACCCCGCTCCGATACGGAGCCATGGCCCTTAAAACCAAAGAGGTACTTAGCTTTTCTTTTTTCGTGCTGGAGGTGAGTGTGTGTATGTTTGAGAGTGTGTGAGAGTGATAAAGACGAGCTTGTCCTGGTGTTTTGGGGTGTGCGTGAGAGGGAGGGTGTTGCTGTTGTTTGGGAGTGTGGTCACCATGTGCACTATGTCGGTCTCGCTGACATTTGCCTGACTCACGCTCTGTGTTTATGGTGATGGAGGGGTTTACCCAGCGTGCATTGTTTTGAGTGGGTTTTGCTTCAAAAGCAGTTTTGGGGAATAGCTTAAATATTTTGTTAGGAAATTGTTTTATGATTACATGGTTATGTTTTCCCACAGCAAAATAATGTAGTAGACTAATGAAGTGGCTGTGACTGGAAGGTATTTTTGAGTGTTTACTTGGAGTTTATTCTTGATTCTGATTGGTTAACAGACATTCCAAGGTGTTGATTAGTTTTCTATAACTTAACAACGTTAAATAGCTTTTAGTCTTGACCGCTTTACAGTTTCACATTCGCTCCGCAACTTTCTTTTTGATCTAGGAAATTTATTTGCAATTATTGGTTCCACGAAGAACCTCTTAAGATCTACGGAACCTTTATATTGGACCAAAGTTTCCTTATAGTGGAGATTTTTTTCAGATTATTAAATGTTCTTCATACTAAGAAAAAAAATTGAAAGCTCTATGAGGAACCAAAAATGCTTCTTTCATGGCACTGCTGCAAAACCCCCTTTTTGGAATCATTATTTTTCAAAGTGTAGTAAACTTGTCTTAAAATGTTTTAAACACGATTCTTCAGAAGTGAATCAAATCAAGAGCATTTAAGGATAAAAACCTGAAAAATATAGACCTTGCATAGACATACATGTGGTAACTGTGGTTTAAGCAGATTTGATTCTGGACCGCCACGTTGATATGCTTTTAATTTGTAAAAAATTCAGCGGTCAATCATCAATTATTCCTCACACATTATAGTGCATTTGGTGGACAGAGGCAGGAGGGTTTTCGCCTATGCAGTGATGGTGTCTTCAGATCGTGCGGCTGGTCTGGGATGGAGGCAGTGTTTTTTTGTGTGTTGTGGTTTAGAGGGGGGTCCTGTTTTGGGTGGGAGGGGCACGGACGAGGCCGGAGAAGTTCTGATATGAGGAGCGGACAAAGCGTGAAAGCCCCCAGCATGGAGTCTATGTCCCATTGTCCCGCCGAACCCTTCTGTCACTTTCATTTTACACCGTGCGCTCCGAAGTCAGGACAGCTTTGATATAGGGAAGGGGTGCAGGAGCGGATGGCGGGGGGCCAGAGGGGGATCTCGCAGAAAAGAAAAAAAAACAGGACAAGCAAGGGAGAGAGAGGTAGAGTCCGTGAGGTGTGAAATAAGATTGCTTTTTTTATCCAACAGTGCAGCGTTAAAGACAAGGAAGCTGTCTGTTGTGGGGCAAAATGAGAGGGAGAAGGAGGTAGATGGGGGAAAAAAGAAGAGGGGGAAATATGGCCCCACAGATTTACAGTGATGTGCGCTGTGACACCTGGTTAAAATGATAACCAGTGCTTCGGTAATCCTAATGAGAGTAATGAGAAAGAGCAGCCGCTCACAGAGAGACCGACTCACACCGCTCCACTGCGCTCCGGCTGGAGGAAGGGTGAGGCGAGGCAGGCCAGAGCCAATGCTAAACCTACAGAGGATCCCAAGAGCTTCTCAGGTATGGTTCCTCAACGTGTTTTCAAGAGCACCAGGCTGATTTCTGTCGAGCTAGATGCTCGGTTTGTGTTATGAACGTGTACACCGGCCCTTCGGTCTGGGTAGGAGAGGCTGGATGGAGCAGTGGTTACCATGTATTATTTATTTGGCGGTTTGTGCCTGTCGGTATGATTAGTATGTGTGTAATCACCGTTCTTCTGGGGAAACGGGGGAAGGCAGCTCGGCCTCATCTGAAGGTAATCGCGCAGTCTTCTGAGTCTCATCGCTTGGCGCGGACTTCCTGTCTAGCATCTGCTTTTGTCATCTCCACATATTTCCCAGTCCGCGTTCTGTATATATTTGTCTGTGCCTTTCTAACCTCTCTCTGCCTTCATCTGCTTTGTGTGTGTGTCTTGCCAATTTCTCTTCCTTGCTTGTATAGGGTGACACCTATAGGTCAGTATGAGATACTGCACACTGGTACGGGTTTGAACGTTTCATCTGCAGTTTTCTCACACGTTATCATGCATTTCCCGGTCCGCACGTACAAAATTAAAGTCCATTTTCTGTATCCCTCCACATCTGGCTTTGCTGAAATGTGGGATTGCGCTTCCTCTGAGAACAGACGTGCTTTGCAATTTTAGGCGCTGCGGTGGGCTTATTCGGTTGGCGTGATTAGATTAAGGCAAAAGTTTAATATCACTGTACGAGGACGGGTTAATGAGGACGATTAATTAGAAAGCCCAACCTTCAGGGTATTGTCCTTTACATTTTTAGGATTTGGGTTAGCAAATGGCCTCTCGCCATTGCTGCGAGTGCTTCCTCTTAATCTATTTCCAGGCCAGATCTATGACTACATTTGGGTGGGTTCTTTCATTTGCAGCCTACTCTAAGGCCACTTGTGACCTTTCATTAATTATGGCTGGCCCGGGTTTAATCATTGTGTACTGCGGTGGTGGCGGAGATGAGGAATAGGCACATTCATTTGCCTCTTAGACACATGGCCATGGGTGGAATTAAATGTCTACCTATCTGCGTACCACTGGAGGGGGTTGGGTGTACAGTCGAGGAGTGAGATGTTGATGAGAAAAGGGTGAGAGATGATTTCGGGGTGGCAGCTGTTGCGTGAAGCGACTCTCCATTAAGAGAAGGAAGTGTGCTAGAGCAGGAATTAGACACACTGGCGGCTCTTCCAGAGGTGTAAAATCTACCTGGGGATTATTTTGTAATCTGGCTGCTTCTGACTCTATATCATATTGTAATTCCCAGCCTGGCAAAGGTGGATTTATCTAGACGGCAGTGCATGTTGCTTTCATTTTTTTCTTTTGCCTTTCCAGCCTATTTCTCAGCCCAACGCTGTTGGGTAATGTTGGGTTATGGAGAACGGAAATTGCTCGTTGCCTGGGAAACATAACAGAAACAGGCACATTTGTGAAAGAATGAAATGTTGTATGTATAGCTGGTTATTCCATTTTTACGTGCCGTCATTTAAACACAGAATCAGTGTGGGCCCTGGGTAATATGGCCTAAGTGCATAATCCATACTGCGATCAAGCGCTAGGTGCTTCATCTACACTGAACACAGGTGCAAATGCAAAAAGCACTGAGCAAATCACAGTTTTTTTTTGCTTTGCGAAGCTTTTCTGGTTGTTTTTAGAAAAAAAAAATAAGGCTGAGATGAAATTAACAACAGTTCTGTTTATCTACCTCCTCGTTCAAACCTGCACTCCTGTTATTATTGAATAATTTGCCTGTTTTTGCATTTGTTCATCTGACGTGTTATTGCCGTTATGCTGAAAAACAACTCTTGTGAATTAGCGCATGTAGTTTTATAACCTTGCAGTGTACGGAAGACTCTGTATACCAGTGTGTTCTTGTGTAATTACTTTCTCCCAGAATGCCACAGCGGAAACCACAGCGATTGTAGGCTTAGGCAAACGGTCTGCCCCAGTCGTGTTTCCTCTCGGTGCATCAATAAATAAAACAGTGCAACAAAATGCAGAATTACACATAGCAATCCACACAAGACCATCAGATGTAAATGGCTTTAACTGCTCTAGATACACACACACACACTCACACACAAATGGTTTGTTGTAGCACATTAAGTCAAGGAGATGGAAATGTTTAGAGATGTTGATGTATTACCCGCAGTGAGAGAGTTATGGCGGAGGCGTTTATTAAATACGCCGCTCCATGTTCATGCAGAGACCAAAAAAGCGTTTTTGAAGAATGATAGATTGAGGTTGTAGTTTAACAGTTCTAGAAACCGAACACTGATGAGAATAAACTTTAATGGATTGCGGGGCGGCTTTTGGAAGCGGCTGGTCTGGATTCAAGTCGCGTCCCAGGCGGGCTTCTAAAGTGACTGAAACGTTATTGGAAAATAAAAGCTGTTTTAAGTTAAGTGTTCGAATATTGTCGTGGAATAGCGATCTTTGAGCGTGCAGATGAATATTTGAACAGGATATTTCAGCAGCCGTTGTTGTCCTGTCGATATGTCAATAACCCACCTGATAGTTTTTTGTTTTGCGAAGCTTTTCTGGTTGTTTTTAGAAAAAAAAAATAAGGCTGAGATGAAATTAACAACAGTTCTGTTTATCTACCTCCTCGTTCAAACCTGCACTCCTGTTATTATTGAATAATTTGCCTGTTTTTGCATTTGTTCATCTGACGTGTTATTGCCCCATCCTCTCCTCCCCCTTCAGGAGAGCTGAGTGAGGATGTGGAGGCTGCCAGTGAGACCACCACAGATCAGGAGGACCAAACCAAAGACAGAGAGTGTGGGGGGGAGAGGGAGCTCACCAAAGGGACAGGTAAGCCCTATCTTTCAATTCACTATACAAGGGGTCCAATATAACAGGGGGCTGTTAGATTTTAGGGGTTTCTTTTACACATAGACACTGAGAAACCTTTATATTCCACAGCTTTAGTGTTGTGGCTTATTAAATAAGGTGAAGTTTTACCACAAATATGTCAGTGCACTTTTAAGAAGCTCAAATATTTCCAAGAATCAAGCTTAATTTAAGATGTTCCATTTCTCACCCCTGAGGATTTAGTTGGAATTCCCAGGAAAAATTATCCCTGTTGTGTAATAACTGATAAGGCTTATTGACTGCCACAGACTTTACTGTTGCAAAATCAATGTTTGTGTGTGCTAGCCATGGTACTTTTAAACAAGCTCAGCCCGGGAAAGGGGGTGCTCAGGGGGCACGAGGTGGGAATAAAAAGGATTGATGCCCATTTTATTATCTGTTTTTCAGGATCTTCTCTCTGTTACTTACACATGGCATTATTGGAGATCCATTGTTGGGGGTTCGCTGTCTTTAAATGGCCTAATATATTGAGCAGGTGGCTTTTAAGATGGTTACAGGGGATTTCTGCATTTGACTTGGCAAAATAAAATGAATAGCGAGCTGAGTTTTTTTTTTTTTGCTTTGCATTACCTTGGGTTTTAAAAATGAACTTAGCCCGATATTGGTGAGCAGGCCCGGCAGCAAACTGCAGCAAGGGACTGTAATTATGAACGTTGGGAGAGGTACTAGAGAGAGCGACGCGCAGAAACTCTCCTCTCTCTTGAAACTCGCACAATTATTTTTCCTGTCTGCATGCTCGGAGCCACTGTGGAAAATGTGTGTATGTCTCTACCACATGTATATATATATATATATATATATATATATATTGTTTTTTATTATTTATTTAGTTATTTATTGTGCTGTTGTATTTTATGTAATTGTATGGTCCAGCATGTGTGGTGGGAGAGAGAATCAGTTGCTTTGTCTCGTAACCTTGTAAATACTTGTCAGAGAATGTAATTGTTGTGCGCTCCTATAGAAAAAAAAATGCTACCGTCCCTTTAAGTGCTTCCACCAATTCTGATGGAGTGCTGATTTACATATCCCATCCTCTCCTCCCCCTTCAGGAGAGCTGAGTGAGGATGTGGAGGCTGCCAGTGAGACCACCACAGATCAGGAGGACCAAACCAAAGACAGAGAGAGTGGGGGGGAGAGGGAGCTCACCAAAGGGACAGGTAAGCCCTATCTTTCCAATTTACTAGACAGGGGGTCCAGTTTAACAGGGGGCTGTTAGATTTTAGGGGTTTCTTTTTCACACTGAGAATCCTTTATATTCCACAGCTCCAGTGTTGTGGCTTATTAAATAAGGTGATGTTTTACCACAAATATTTCAGTGCTCTTTAAGAAGCTACATTTTTTCCAAGAATCAAGCTTAATTTAATATGCTTTATTTCTCACCAGATCAGGAGGACCAAACCAAAGACAGAGAGTGTGGGGGGGAGAGGGAGCTCACCAAAGGGACAGGTAAGCCCTATCTTTCAATTCACTATACAAGGGGTCCAATATAACAGGGGGCTGTTAGATTTTAGGGGTTTCTTTTACACATAGACACTGAGAAACCTTTATATTCCACAGCTTTAGTGTTGTGGCTTATTAAATAAGGTGAAGTTTTACCACAAATATGTCAGTGCACTTTTAAGAAGCTCAAATATTTCCAAGAATCAAGCTTAATTTAAGATGTTCCATTTCTCACCCCTGAGGATTTAGTTGGAATTCCCAGGAAAAATTATCCCTGATTACGGCGAATCTGGTCAAGTGACAAAAACACAAGTCAGGGCCTGCTTACAGAGTTACAGCGTGGCCATGTGTCTAAACACATGTGACCGTGTTCTTTGCCTCACACACACATACACCTCTGAAGAATGCTGTCAGATAGGAGTATTTTGCAGGCGGGGATGGGGGCGGTTGTGGCAGGTGCAGGTGTCAGGTTTCATAGAGAGGTGTGGTTTAAGAGGAGGGGGGCTGCTCGGGGTGTTGGAGTGGAGTGGATTGGAGTGCAGAGGAGAGAGAGGCCTGTGGAGGTGGAGTGGAGATCAGTGGTGCGTTGCTGTGGCGCTGATGTGTTCGGAAAGCTGCGAGGGCCTGCAGCACGTGCTGCGTTATGAGCTGGTGTGTGCATGCGCTTGTGTGTGAGAGAGTCAACTGGCCTATTGTTTGTTACTACAGTCATATGTACCTGTGCATGATATGTACCATTTTAAAATGGCATAACTCTTCCCGTTAGGTCTCATTAGTTAATGTTAACTAAAATTAGTTAATGCACTAACTAAAATTAACAATAAGTAATACATTAATTACAGTATTTATCAATCTTTATGTTAGTTATTAAAAAATGCAGGTGTTTATTGTTGGTTCACATCAGCTCAGGTCTCTTAAACAATTAAATGATTAACATATAATTAATACGTTTTAGAATTATTTTTCATTGTTAGTTCACTAATACTAACGTAATTAACTAATGTTAACAAATTAAACCGTATTGTAACGTATAACCAAAAAAGGAATACAAATGATAAAATATGAATATGAAAAACCTTATGTAATTTAATTCAAATTGAACTGTGTTCTTTCAAACCCCAATCAAGACTACCTCTAATGTGTTTTGCTGAAATCAAAAATTTCTTACAAAATAGTTACAAACCCATACATGAAATAAAGTGCAGAGGGTGATAATTTTGAAAACAAAATGTTTTTAAATTTTTTAAAGCAGCAAAAAATAAAAAATATATTTTTAATAAATGTTAATAAATAAATAATTTTAAGCAGTTAAGAAATATTCATGATTATTCTCATGCCTTTTCAGTCATTTTTAAGGAAACAAAATTACCATAATAATAATGTGTTTATAATAATAATAGATTTGTTTGGATGCCAGATTTAGAAGAATATATGTACTACCTGGTTGATTTTATTTTTTAGGTGACTAATAATAATATTAGTAAATGATATCTAGTGTAATATGGTTTAATAGGAAAGCACTTATGGTTTGGTCACAATGAAGGTATACTTACCGGTGGTGCTGGCTGTATAAAACAAAAAAAACGTTGGGAAACACATCAGTACTTATGCATGCGTGTGTGGTTTGGACCTTGAGCATTAGTCATGTCCTTCGACAGGTGCGCGCCGGTCTGAATGTTCGGTGTCCATTCTTGCTCGCCATCTCGCGTTTGAAGTTCCATTCACGTGGAGTTCAATTGGTGCCAATGTATGGAAGCCGTTTGATTGCAAGGAGGAAGCAGTCAGCGCATGCACCTGTCTGGAACAAGTGTTTTCACTCCAGCTGTGCCTCACAGGCGACAGGATGCAACTTTATATCTTCATGATAGCAATTTTAGTCTTTTGCATGTTCCACATTTTATTATTATTATCATTATTTTTTAAATCCCGAAACTACAGCAAAAAAAAAAAGTTAATTGGAGCATTTGAAGGCAAATCTTTTAAAACGTCTTTTGATTTTTTTTCAACTTTCATTTTAAATGAGGCTGAGTTGTTTGTGCACTTTGAGCGAGTGCCACTCGGCTTTGATGGGGAGAAATAATGATATGCATCGCTTGCCTGAAAATGGCTAAAAGTATATTTTAACACATCAAAATAAAGCACTTTAAAAAGCATTAAAATGAGCTGCTTGATTAATAATTCAGCCGTTACCTGTGGTGCCGAAGAAGACGACTCTGCGCATTAAGAGTCCTGCGTCTTTTTCTGAAAGGCATGCGATTCCATACAAGAATATTCAATTCCTTTCCTCCCCCTGTCAGTAGCTAATCACCAAATAAGTGTGTTTCTGTGTTTTCACAAAGGAAAGATGTGCTTGCATATGAAAAATTTACAGGCTTCCCAGCAGCTTATTAGGAACGCTTAGTTAAAAATAGCGTGCATTAGGAAGCCAGGTCTAGGGTGCCGTTTGATGTCTGAGGAGAGGTGGAGAGGGGAGGAAGGAGTGACGGGGGTGGAAGAGTGAAACCTGGCAGTGTTGTGATCTAAGATACTGGTGCTGCTTTAATGGAAGCTCTTTTATATTCTTTTTCTAATCGTGTTTAGAACTAGCTTTCATGATTGACGGACAGAGCGGCGTGAGACGAGAGGCTTTCTGAACTCTGCCTGGGAAACGCTGGAATGCTTTTAGTAAACAGAGGCGCTCTTGTTTTGGCTGGAGATTGTCTGAGAATGCATCAACGGTGAGCCGCTGGACTCCTCTGGCTAACCTGTTATTTCAAGGCACGCATCCGAGCGGATTTGAGTCACCCTGTCTGCGCTGGCTGTTATTAGGGCCTGTCATTAGTGTTGTTGAAGTTTTTCCCTCTCATCCTAGTCATGCGAACACAGAGTGTTGAAACGTGCTTTGCAGATGACTCTCAGGTTGAGCGTGTTAGTACCAAGCCATAGTCAAGCCGTGGGGATCTGATGGGTCTCTTTTGAACAAGTCATTTAGTGCTGGATGGGAATGATTTAGGCATGTCAACACAGGTTACCTTGATTAGGTTAGTATAAGCCTTCCAGAAGTATATGAAATATAAAGCTCAGCCTCCATCCATTGGGTTAACATTAGTGCAATGGGGTGATCGGGCGTTACTAAAGAAAGAGAGGTTCAGTAGATGTGTGGCAGAAAATAAGGATAGAGTGCATAACGGATGGACTGAGAACGTGGAAGATACGTGCCAATGTGGAGCGGGATTGTTAATTCACTTAAGGACTGGAGAAGCAACCACAATATGATTTGAGATGTTTAACATAAATATAGGTGGGGAGGAGGCGGTTTACAGGCAGGGGGGTCTGCGGTCCTCGGCAGGTTTATGAATGATTCCTTTCAAGCCCCAACTTTCAAATTACTGGGGTTATAGCGAGGGAGGGAGAATAATCTGATGCAGGTCAGACGCTATCTGACACGGCAGCAGCAGCTTTCCAAATTGGTTCCATCTCTTTTGCCTTATATATTTACTTAAATATATGAATGTCAGTGA